TACTCAGGGCTGACTCCCAGCTCTGTGCTCAGGGCTTACTCCTGGCTCTGTGCTCTGTGCTTACTCCCGGCTCTGTGCTCAGGGCTCACTCCTGCTGGCTCAGGCACCCTCTCCAGTGCCCAAGCCCGCTGTGTGCCCGTGGTGTCTTCCCCTCTGTCCTGTCACTCACTTTCCTGTGGTTCCTGCCCACAGTCCTGAGATTTACCCTAAGTTCGTCCTTCCTACTGCCTCAGACCCGCCAGGGCCTCAGGACCCTGTGTTTCTCTTTCACACAAACCCGACAGCCCTTTTGGCTTTCCTTGGAGCAACCTTGGGGAAACTGAGCAAAGGGACAAAGGAAGCTAGGAAGCTGCAGGGGGGAGAGCCCACCTGCCCCATGTGCCTTCCTGGATTCGCAATCTCAGGAACAAGCCCGGGTGTGGGGGGGTGGGAAACAGCCAAGGTGCAACCCCCCACTCCGTACGGGGCCAGATGGCCATTGAGATACAGAATTCCGGCCTGCCGAGAGGCCCCACCTGGAGCAAAGGCGGCTGCTGAGGTCGGGGGAGCCTCAGCCCTTGGGATCTTCCATCCCGTCGCTTCCCCTTTTGGCTGCACCTGCGGCTTCTCCTGGCTGACTGCGCTCAGAGATCACTTGGGGTGGGGAATGCCGAGATGGGGATCGAGCCCTCGAACCAGGAGCAGCTGCCTGCAGGCACACACCCTCCCCTGAACATGCTTGTGCTCCTTCCCTGCTCGTCTCCCGGCAGGTGAGAGACGTCGGTGAGGTTGGGACTTGACTTTCTCACCCAGGGCAGCTCCTCGTGAAGTGGAGCAGGGCCAGGTCCACCTGTGTGGGCACAGCAGGTGGACCCGGCGGCTGGGCGCTGGGTGCCGGGGCAGCTGGGGGTGGCAGAATTGGCCTCTGCAGGTGCGTTCCCTCCAGAGCCCCAAGGGGGGACCTGCGGGCGGCCACAAAGCCCACCCATGGACGGGGTGTCCCAGTGGGCCTCAGGGCTGGCTCCGGCTGGGCTGGCTGGGTCGCAGGAACCCACCTGCCTGCTGTCCTGCTGCTGGCATGGAAGTGCATTCCTCCTGCCCAGTGGGGGTCTCGAGAGTCGCGTGAAATATTTTCAGACAAAACTTGGAAGACTGGGAGTTCACTGTCCAGTTCCTGTGGTGGCGCAGCCCGCAGGAGGAGCTGATGCAGGGCCAGGAGCCAGTCTCGGGCACCACCGTCAGCTCAGTGTCCAGTTAAGCACTGAGGGGCCCCTGCTCCCCCCCTGGTGTCCAGGTTCTGCTTTCCCCTGTGGACACCACTCGTCCCGCCCCCACGGGAAGCCATACTCTTATGGCCATTTGTCTGTTGTATCTTAATTGCAGCAGAGGCTGGAAAACGGCCCAGAAGCTCCCATCAGCGTTTCTAATTCTGCGGGACGGAGTTCGGAGTCACCGCTTGCTCCGGGCCTGCAGCCCCTTCCCTTCCCCCGTTCCTCTCTCCCTCTACCAGAGGACTCTTTTTTGTTTTGGGGCCACACCCAGGGGACTACTCCTGGCTCTGTGCTCAGAGGCCACTCCTGGCAGGGCTCCAGGGACCATCGGGGTGTCAGATCAAACCCTGGCTAGCCGCTGCAAGGCAGAAACCCTCCCCGCTGTGCTATCTCTGGGCCCAGGAGGAAGGAAAATGCTCTTGGAATAACCGGACAGGGGCTGGAGCCATAGGAGGGCTTTTGCCTTGCACGCAGCCAACCTGAGTTCTGTCCCCGGCACCCCATATGGTCCCCTGAGCACTGCTGGGAAGTAATTCCTGAGTGCAGAGCCAGGAGGAAACCTAAGCATCGCCGGGTGTGACTAAAAAGAAAAAAACAAACCCTCGGACAGCAAATGGGCAAGCATCTGTTGCTGCTCCGGGTAACATGTGAGGTCACATGTGTGCCCCTGGCAGACGCTGTTTGTTCTCTGCTGCATTTTATCACCCAGTGCCCAGCAGCTAACAGATGTGTGTAAACGGTACTGCTGGTCTGTAGGAGCAGGTCACCGACCTGGAAACACGGAGTTTACTGGCTGCACCGAAAGAAGAACTGTTTACGTTCGGGGTCTGGAGTGATAGTATAGTGGGGAGGGCACTTGCCCGCGGACGACCGGGGTTCGATCCCGGGCATCCCACAGGGTCCCCCAAGCACCGCCAGGAGTGATTCCTGAGTGCAGAGCCAGGAGGAACCCCTGAGCATTGCCGGGTGTGACCCAGAAGCCAAAGAAAAAGAAATTAAAAAAAAAAAAACGCAAAAGCGTTTACATTAACGGTGGATATTGGAAAAAAGAGTAACAAGATTCAAAAAAGGCAACTCTTGATTGTTGTTTGCCTTTGATTCTCCGAGGAAATTTGTACAAGTTTGTCAGTGAGTAAGGCTGGGTCCCAGAGGGACAGACCTAAGATGCAAACTAAAACCGGCAGCCGTGCTGGACGCTGGACACAGGTCAAGCGGGTGACTATCGGGAGCCTGTGGGGGCCTCCAGGCTGCCAATGCCGTTACACTGAACAAGCGCCAAGAACAGAGGATGGATAAGGAAACGGAGCATCTACCCCGACGGGGCACTACGCAGCGGTTAGGAAAATGAAGTCCTGAGACTCGCCTGCATGTGGACGGGCACGGGGAGCATCACGCGGAGTGAATGGCCCAGGGGGGAGGACAGACGTGGAGTGGCCACTCACTTGCGGGATATAAACAAAACCAACATAGGGAGTGAATAAGACCCAAGGCAGTAGTAGCTGGGCCAGGAGAACTGCTCCCCGGTTGGAAGCTGCCATAGGCTGCGGGGGAGAGGGCAGTGAGACAGAGAAGGGACCCGGGTGACAGTGAGAGCTGGAGGTGGTCACTCTGGACAAGGACTGATGCTGGAGGAGGTGAGGGGTAAACGGGATGACCTTTCAGTGACAGTACTGCAAGCCACAGTGCCTGAAAGGGGGGGGGGGTGAGGGAGAGAGGGGAGATGGGGAGAGAAAGGGGAGAAAGAGAGAGGGAGAGAGGGAGGGGGAGGGAAAGTGCTTCCCAGAGGCAGGCAGGGTGGGGTGACAGCGGAACCCTGGGGACAGGGTGGCGGCAGGTGCTGGACACTGCCTGCTCAGCCCCCAGCTGTGTGTCTTCCGGAGTTGGACCTAAGGTCCAGGCACTTAGGCTGAATCTCGACAGTTTCACCCTTACCTGGGTGGGGGCCACACCGGCCGTGTTCAGGGGTCGCTCCTGGGGCTTGGGCAACCCTGTGGGATGCCGGGGGTGGGTCAGCTCCTGGTCAGCCGCCAGGCACGCGTCCTCCCGGCTGTGCCCTCGCTCATTCTTAGGATGGAAATTCCATCAGACGCTTCAGGAAGGCGCGGGGAGGCCGTGAGTGGACGTTGTCCGTCCCTCTGGCCAAAGCAGATCTGGGCTGCACTGCCGCCCCCTGCTGGCGCCTGGGAGCACTTCCAGGGTTCCTGGAGTGGGGCAGGGGGCTGGAGGGCCCGAGCCAGGGGGAGGCTCCTACTGAGGGTCTCCATAGTTCATGAGCACATGTTCTAACTCCGTTTACATTGTTTGTGGGGCCACGGCCAGGGTGCTCAGGGCTCACTCATGGTGGTCTCGGGGGACCTCATGGGATGCCAGGGCTCAAACCTGGCTGGCTGTGTGTGAGGCCTCGCTAGTGCCATGGCTGACTCAGTTCCGTCCTTTCCTTTGTTCTACTTCAGCCCCCCCCCCCGGGGGGGGGGTTTCAGTGCTTGCTCACACCTCCACACCCTGCGGGCTTGCCACTCTGGGGCCCGACTCCCAGCGTTTCTTTTCCTGCTTTCCTCGTTGCATGTGTGGCCAGCAGCAGTGCTGGTACTGGGTACTCATCAGAGCTGCCCCAGGCCGCTACCCGCCAGGGCTCTTCTGAAAGGGATTCTGCCGGCTTCTCTCTGAGCTTGACAGAAGACCGTCTCCTTTCTGACCCTCCGAAACACTCAGGTACGATCTGTGACGTGTGACTGTGCATCCAGAGGCTATGGGGACACTGCCCACTGTCCTGCCTCACCCCTCCCTCGCCTGAACCATGGCACATGCGATTGCACACGTGTGCACGTTCCCCGCGGCACCCCTCGACACAAGCCCAGCTGGAGCACTGCAGGGAGGGCATCACACTGGTGCTGGGAACAAGCGGGTCCTTGGTCCTCCCTGCAGACCTGGGGGCCATTGGCAGGGAGGGCATCTGCCCTGCACCAGGCTGAGTGGGCTTGACCTTGGCCACTGGAGGGGCCCCAAGCACTGCTGGGAGTTGAGCGAGGACCACCAACCCCAGAGCCACTGGGGTGAAACTGCCGCAGGCCTGAGGGAGGCTGGGAAGGCCGAGGTCTTGGGACCCGCCCTGCCTGAAAGAACAGCACGGCAGCAGTAAGCACGAGCCTTTATTCGATCTGGAAAGGGGCTGAGGGGCATCCATCTGCTCATTGAACAGTTTCAAATCTTCACCAATTTTTATTACAAAAAATCAGAAGAGTAAAAATTCATGACTATATTTGCACAGTGAAATCACTAGTTACTAAACAAAGCTAATCTCTAGAAAACCATAAATGTAGCCGTTTTATTCAGAGATTCAAAATTCTCCATTGACGGGACATAGTGGTATAGATTTTAAAGCAGAAAACCCCAGAAAATGAAAATGTGGCGGAGGAGTGGTGCGCTCGGACACGTGACCTGGAAGAGGAAGTGAGCGCGAGTTCGCGGGTGCAGGCTCTGGCACGAGGAACCGTCCCGGACACGCTGGGTCAGGCTGGAGTGTGGGTTCAGCACCACGGGCAGGACTGGGCGTCGGGCAGTGGGCTCCCCGGGAGCGGCCAGGCCCTGCACCTGCACAGCCCCACTGCGGGGCCTGCAGTGCTCCTTGCTCCATGGTCACTGTCCCTGCGGACAGTGTGGAGCGGCCACCTGCCGGGCACCTGACTGCCTCCTCCCACACCTGTCAGGACCTGCCCCGAGCCAAGTGGCAGGAGCGCGGCAGCATGCCAGGCCAAGATGGGCAGCGAAGCCCACGTGGGGCGGGGCCAGCGCTGGCCCTAGGAGCTCAGGTCCAGCTGCATGGCGCCCAGGATGGCACTGTCGTAGCGCTCGGCCACCCGCACGGAGCACGAGTGCTCCAGGGCGCTGCTGACCTCGGGGATGCTCTCAGCCGTGTCCCCAAAGCCATGGTAGTGTCCATAGTGCAGGCTGTCCCCCAGCTCGCCCACCCAGGAGGGCCTGCTGGCCACGCAGCTGCTGGGGCTCCCATTCAGGTGCAGGGCGCCACAGAGTTCGGGGCTCCCACCCGGGGCCTGCCCGGGCTCCTCGCGCCCGCGCCCCCCGGGCCCCCCCGGGCCACTGCCAGGAGTGTCCACGCCCAGGGCGGCGCGCCTGCTGTCCGTCCCGGTGCGCGGCGGCGTGCAGGGGAAGTCCAAGTGTCCATTGAGGCCGCGTCCGCTGGCCATGCTGCCGGACACGAAGCTAGCGTGCCTCACATCTGCAGTGGGAAACACACCTGTCACTAGGCAGAAGTGCATGGCAGCCCGGGGCGGCACGCCTTCGCGGGGCCCGGCCGGAGGGGGGACACGCCGGGGAGGCCAGCGGTGTCCTCAGAGCAGGTCCACGGCACAGACAGGACGGGCCGAGGCGGGCACGCACGCACACACGCGGGGTCTCTGGCAGCCGCGAGCAGACCCTCCTGGGGACAGCACATGGGGACACTGCCGCACTGCCCCCCCCCCCCCCCCAGTCCTCCAAACTGCCCGCAAGCAGCTTCTAAATGGTCTCTCGAGGGACAGCGTAGCTTAGCACTGAGTCCTTCAGAGCATGGGGTATTTTATTATTATTTTTGGGGGCAAGTTGCACAATAGCTTTTCTCTTATGTTCTGGTTTTGGGGCCGTAACTAGCTGTGCTCAGGGGTCCCTTTGGGCTGGGCTCCGGGGACCCTGTGTGGTGCCAGGGAAGGGCCCGGCTCAGCCGTGTGCCCGGCATATGCCTTACCCTGGCAGTCTCTTGTCTGGGAACAGTCTTTTTTTTTTTTTTTTTTGCTTTTTGGGGTCATACCCGGCGATGCACAGGGGTTACTCCTGGGTCTGCAATCAGGAATTACCCGTGGCGGTGCTCAGGGGACAATATGGGATGCTGGGAATCGAACCTGGGTCGTCTGCATGCAAAGCAAACGCCCTACCCGCTGAGCTATCACTCCAGCTCCCCACACAACAGTTTTCAGCTAAAATCAAAGGCGGGAAACACTACAGGAAGTAAACTTGAAGTAAAATGACAAGGAGCGAAGTTACATTCTGAGAAGCATTTACTTTCACTGGGGGTGGGTGGGGGGTGGTCATACCTGGCAGTGCTCAGGGGACCATCAGGGGACCATATGGGCTGCGGGGGATCAAACCCGGCTGGCCAAGTGCAAGGCAAGCACCCTCCCTACTGTGCTATTGCTCTGGCCCTACATTTCCTTTGCTCAAAAAAGGAGGAAAAGAAAAAAAGAAAAAAGGTGCGACCAGCTTTTCCTGGCCTGAAGCCGCTATATTGCAACTGAGTGACCAAAGCAAATAACTGGTGACGGTGAAGACGGGGATGGCCCCGTGGCTACAGCCACCAATGGCGCCGAGACTGTATTGAGCACACCCCCCACTCTAACTCAGGGACAGTGCCTCGTGGACATGGGCCCCAGCCCACCCAGGTCCTGTTCAAGGCCCGGAGTGACCCTCCCAGAGGGCCGGGGAAAGCGTGAGGAACAGCAACCATTCCTACCCTTTTCAGATGCAGGACAGGCCTGAGCAGACAGAACCCCAGCAGCTGCGTCCCTGAGTGCCCGGGAAACCCACCCACTCCATTCCATCATCAGACTGCAAGAAGGTTCTAAGCTTCTAGGACTCTAGGAAGATGTACAACCTTGAGAATTCTCTTTTAACCTCAGTGAAGAATTTAGCATAAAAACGTAACGGTGCCTTTCAAGGGAGCAATGGTATCTCTAAGGCTGTGGACACGCGGGGGGTTGGGGGGGTAAGCTAGGACGGTCCCAGGCCGCCCCGGGCAGCGGAGCAGCTTGAAGCCACCCACGCGCTACAGGCAGCTTGTTCTGGACACGGCCACTCGGAGAGCTGCGGGCAGTGCCCTGGGGGCGGTGCTCAGCGTCCACAGCCGGCAGTTCTCGCTTACAAGTTCCTAGCAACGGCCATTTGGCATCATTCGCCCGAAGGGCTCCTGTCAAAACTCAAGGCAAGGCACAGACTGTGCAGGAGCGTCAAACCAGGGCAGCAGATTGCACTTATTTTTCATCTCTGTAGGATGCACCACCAAGGGTTCGCGCGTCTACGGCCGGGCTGGGCCGGCTAGAAGTAGCACGCGTACTGGTTCCGGCAGCGGCAGGGAGTCTGCATGGCCGACACCGTATAGATCTCTAGCTCCCGGGGTCCCGCGGGAGCCCCCGGCTGCGGGCGGCTGTCTTCAGCCACGGGGCTGCCGCTGCAGTTAACGGGACACTGTCCGCTCCCACCTGTTACAGCCGTGAGCTCTCGGTCAACGAGCATTCTGTCGGTGTCATCGTCTGGCTCGCTGCTGGCCGCCGGCAAGTAACAGTCGGGACTGTGGGCTGCACAGAACACAGGGCGTAAGGCTCTCTGCGCGTGTAACGCAAGCGCACACACGCATGCATATGCACGAACACATGCATCCACACACACCCACACATGCACACACACGCACGCATAGGTACAAACACGCATGCATGCCCCACCAGCCTCTCCACAGCTGCCGAGGGCCAAAGCCCTCCGTCCACCCTGGGGTCCAGGCCAGCAAGGGCAGGACTCGGCTGTGGGGCCTGTGCCCACATGTCCAACACCCCGAGGCAGCACTGAAGTGACGTTCACCATCTCCTGAGCAGAAACCAGGGCAATGCTGACCCCCTGCGGTTTCCAAGGGGGACACTCAGGCAGGACCCGAGTGGCCCAGCTGGGAAGGCTCTAAGAGATGGGCAGATAGTGGGCAGCAGGACAACCCGCAAATGTCTATCCCAAACGCCATGTCGCCCCAGCCCCGCCAGCAGCGAGACTGTCCACTGTGCACAGCAGACAAGAGATACCCCCGGGTGGGAGCTCGCCAGGCACACGTAGCGGCTGAGGCTCGCTTCCCCGCCCCCGGCATCCCAGCCAGTCCTCCGAGTCCCCAGGAGTGACTCCTGAGTGCCGAGCCACGCGCGGCCCCAAAACAAGCCCGGGGAACTGCTTGCCTAACAACGGTCGGCCTGCACTGAGCCCACACAGCTCTCCAGGGACAGTGCTCCTGGCTCAGGCCAGGGCCGGGCCTTCTGAGAAGGTGTTGTGGTGGTGGGATTGGTGTTCGAGTGTTAAACGTAATAAATCACTGTAAACAACTTTATAAAAATTCAAAAAAAAAATTACCCTTGTATATACATCCTACTGGTCTCTGGCTTAAAGTCTGTATAATTAAACTTTGGAATTAATATAGTCGTTGTGAATAAAATGACCAATCCCAAAAGACCAAGAAAGATGAGAGGAAAAAAAATCAAAAGCATGGGGCCAGAGCAACAGCAGGAGCAATAGCAATAGCATCCTTGCCTTACACCTGAGTTAGATTCCCGGTGCCCCATACGGTCCCCTGGGCAGTCAGGAGTAAGCCCTGAGCATCACCGGGTATGACCCAAAAGGCAAAAACAAAACCAAAAGGACCAACCAACCAACCAACCAAACAAACAAACAAAAAAAACCCAGGAGTAACCTGGGGCCACTCAAGGCTGCCTGGGCTCTTCAGGACAACGGACAGCACAGAGGTGCAGTGACCCAGGCGCCTGCCGCCAGCTTCCTGCTAAGGTACTTACGGACATGCTCTGGGTCACAGACCGTGGCGTGTGTGCGTGCACGTGTGTGATTCTTTCCCTACGTGAAGATGGAACCCCGGCGCAGGGCCGAGACCCCCGTGCAGGCCTCTCCTGGGCACTCACCATCGGTCCTGGCTTTCTTGGCCCCGAAGGCCTCCGTCTCGTCCAGGCATCTCTTGCGCGGCCCCACGGCTGGGTGGCCCGGGAACGCGCTCCGGGGGCCACCGTTCAAGGCGCCGTTCCTGTAGGGCCGGCTCAGGTGACAGTTCTGCAGGTTCAAGAGAAACTGGGCACATTCGTGGAAACCCTGGGCTTCAGCAATGTCTGCTGCCGTCAAGCCACTGGCATTTCTCAGGCTGCACGACACAAAACACGCAGTTACACCCTGTCCGCGGCGCGCGGCTCTGCTCCGCTCCCTGACTAGCTAGCGGGTGGGGAGCGCGGCGGCCCGGCGCCAGCCTGAGTTACAGGACTGGCCCTTCGCGTGCCCGCTCGCTGGCGCTGCGGCTAACTTGCTCCCGCCACCAGTCGCTGGCTAAGCGGGCCTGGGAGACAGCGGTGCAAACGGATTCCGAGAGGGCGCCTTCCTGGCTAACTCCCCAGATCATCCTCGCGTCGGGCTGAAGGACTAAGTCTAGGCCGCTTCAGACCCGCCGGGACCGGGCTCTGCGGTCTCTCGCGGCGCATCCCCCGGGCCCCCAGCTCAGGCGGGACCGTGAGGGACGGACACGCCTGGGATTGTCCATGGCATTCACAAGGGCTTCCGAGACAGAGGCTTACCGACGGGCCAGTGCGTTAGCGCGTGACACAGTGAGTGGAGACTCAGCGGTCCCGATTAAAGGGCGCGTCAGCGGCCGGAGGGCGGACAGCCTGGGCTCGGGGCTGGCCGTGCGAGGGAGGCGCTATGGCATCGTGGGGCAGCTGAGCGGATGTTTCCTGTGAAAAGCCTCCCGGTAAGGTCTGAGGAGCCACCCCGGCAGGCCCGACCTGGCCGACGTCCCTGGAAGGCGCGGCCGGCCAGAGACCAAGCAGAGGGGACGGACGGGGGGGACGCAGGCCGGGGTCCGGGCAGCAGCAGCAGGCCAGCAGGGCCGCCCACCCCGGCCTCCTGCTGCACCCCACACCGCCCAGCACGCCACACGCCCACACTTCGAGGGCAGCTGCAGGAAGTGAGTGGGGCGCCAACCAGGGCTCGGGCTGGAGGCGACAGGCAGGAGCTCGCGGCACTGCCGGCCCAGCCCCAGCCCACAGCAGCCCGTCTCTCCACAACAGCCCTCCAAGGCGGGCCCGAGTCCAAACCCGGGTTGGTGAGGAGCAAAGGCAAGGCGATCGGGAAGCCACCAGCCACCGGCCCCAGGGCCACCGAGGTCAAGGCCACCCCTCCCCCGCTGGGCTCCTGGGGACTGTGGTTCCAGAAGTCCGCATGTCCTGTCTGCGGGCCGCCCCCAGCCCCCAAGCTCTGGGATGTTCTGGTGCGCGACCCCGGGGGGTAGCCGAATGTGGGCAGGGTGAAGTACACCAACCACCCGGGCTTTGCGCACAGACTTGAGATTCAATTATGGATGCGTGATTCCCCAACGGGAAATCTCTCGAAATGCCTTCACTACGCCAGAACCGGACTGGAAGAGGGAATCGCCTCAAGAAACTTAAAAAAAAAAAAAAAAACAACCAAAACCAAACAAACAGTATAGCTAAGCGAACAGATACCCAAGCTCCCCCAGGAGGAGGAAGGCCCAGTCCTGACAACCCTTCCACTCGGCTGGTGCCACAACACATACGCATCGACCCCAGCCTGGCGCTTGGGGCACCCAGACCCCTGCTGACCACCCCCCCCACCTGCTCTGGGCCAGGGGTGGGCTTGGAAGGAGAGCTCGCATGGGCCCCCCCCACCTAGAACAAAGCCAGCAGCCAGCACGTGGGCAGAGCGCCCACACATGGCGATTCTGTCTGGAACATCTAGAAGCTGGGGCAAGTTCTCACATTGCAAACGATAAGGACCGCCACCAAAACCCTGGAGGGTCTCCTGGAGGCCCTGTCAGTCACACCGGTCACGCCGAGAATTAGGAGGGGACTGAAGGGCCGGACCAGCTGAGCGCCCCCCCCCCCCCGTCCCACCCCGACTCGGGGTCTCCCCTGGAGCCCTCATGCGGCCAGTGAGCCACCGGGGCATCTGCCAACACGCTGCAGACAGTGAGGCCATCCTTCTTCACCCCCCGCCCCCCCCGGGGCTCGGGCCAGTAAGCCAGGGCTGCTCGAGACCAGCTCCTTCTGCGCCCCGGGGAGCCCCACGCCCTGCTCCTCCGAGCAGTCTGGACACTGGGGTCGGCTGGAGGGAGTGGGCCAAAGGGTTGTGAGGGGGTCTCTGCACTGGCTCAGTCTCTGTCCTAAGAGCTCCCCCCCCCCCAAAAACAACTTCTTACAAAGCAGACATCACTGGGACGCGAGACGACGCGGAGCCCAGAGGGTCTCTCTGCTACCATGGATGGGAGCTGCCCAGGGGCCAGTGCTCGTGGCCACCGAGCCGGCCCAGGCCCTGCCTGTGAAAAGCTCCGGCCGCCGCTGCTCCCGGGGGGACGTGGGGCGTGTCCGCTCGGGAGGCTCCCAGGGTGCCCCGTGTGCCCATAGCTCCGGAGGCCGAGGGTCCACTCACAGTGTCACCGCACGCTGCAGAGAAGCCGCTGGCACCACAGCGGTTCTGCATTCTCTTTTTCAGTGAAGGAAAACACACATCGGGGAACAAGCATTGTGAGGAATCAGAGTCTGAGCGGACGCCCCCCCAGGGCCTCGGGTTCAGGGGAAGAGAAGTTTGTTAATGCCATGTGACAATCGATCTACGGTTCCCGTGACTAAGGTTTCTGTCGGGGTCCTGCTCTCCACTTGGCTGCGGTTAGTTACAGATACCGAGGTCGCTATGGTACATTAGGGGGCAAGCATGCATGGCTAGTCTCTACCTGAGCTCCTAGATTAGCAGGAAAACCAATCACCGCAACAAATACCTCGACAGCACGGCTCGCGGAGAGAGGTGGCCACGCTGACCCCTCAGAGCCGTTCAGCCGTTCCTAAGGGAGTGCTCTCCCCCTCTCTACGGTGACTTGGGAAACCAAGTCAATTCGAATTATGTAGCTGGAAAACATTGACACGTGTCGTTGCTATAGGTTCAGAGTCTTCTGTGTGATTTAAAACGGGCAATGGGTCATGAGACAGGAAACGCAAAGAGGGAGCACAGAGGGGTTACAGATACATACACACAGGAGGGGGCCAGGGGCCGGGGGCCGCGGCCTGCACGCCACGGCCGTCACCGTCACCATGTCTGAGCGTGGAGCCAGCTCCCGTGAGTCAAGATTGCAATAAGAGTTTAACAGTATGGACTAAAACCATGAACTCACGATTCTCGTTACTTTAAAATTTGGTATGCTGTATTTCAAATACATTAGTAACTATTCCTAGATGGAAATAAGCAAATACAGGGAATCATTAAAAAAAAAATTAAAACACGACCATATGTCCATTTGTACAGACAGAACATTAGCAAACATCTAAAAGGTTTTTTGGGGGGAAGGGGGCCAGGGAAATGTTTCTTTAACCATTTGGCATCCAAACGCTTAAATAATTAGTGAAATTTTCTTAAACATATTCTTCCTGTAACAACAGGAAGACACTATTTTAAAAAGTTTCTATATGGAAAATTTGGTGCCAAGTTTTCAATTCATGTTCAACATTTTTGAGGACAGTTTTACCTTGCAAGTGAGGCTCACAAATATTTGCCTATATGAAAATATAAGTACATCATTCAATGAGTCTAATGAAATATTTAATATCCTCCCACTGTAATTCGGCAAGGGAACATATACATATCCAGAAACCACTGGTTTTACTTGAAAGCTCTATTTACAAACGCAGTGGTGAAGCAAGCACAAAGGCCTGCCAGGGAAGGGGACACGGGCTGTCACGAGCAGTACTGCAAATTCAGGAGGGCCTGGCCAACACTGCGGCCCCGAGGCAGGGTGCCCATCCTATCTGGAGGGCCTGCCTTCCAGGAGGTAGATCGAGGGGGCCGGCCCAGGGGGACAGAGGGTTGGCAGGCCCCTGAGGAAATCTGCAGGACGTTTGCCAAGGGCAAAAGTTGCAAAAGGAATCTGATACCAACAGGCATTTCTCTCAAGGACCTACCTGGAAACTTGGTTCCAGTCAGGACCTGTGGGTGAGCCAGTCCAGGTGGGTCCTGAATAGTCAGTCAAGAATGCCGGGGGGGCTCCTCGATTCTCAGACAATTTCAAGAAACGCATACTCAGCCTGCGGCTGCTCTGAGCCAGGCGGGGTCAAGGGGTCTGGGAAGGGCTGGCTCCCAGGACCCGCCTGAACTGGAGGTAAGGAGGGAGTGGCCAGGAGGCAGGAGGTCAGCAGACGCTGCCCTGACCGTGCCACCAGGAAGGGCCCCTGGCCGGCACACGGGGGGCGGGAGAGAGTCTGACCAGACCCAGGTCCTTTATTCCTACGAGAGGCATTTTTAAAAAGCTGTGAACACAAAACACTTTTCACTTGACCTCTCCAGAATGACAGACGAAGCAACCAAAATTGCTCTGTGTCAAATCGTAAGAAAACCCAAGGTTCAAAATCTGCACCTGACGGTGTCAGTAGCAGAAAAAGCTTTTAAATTATCAGCAAATGTCCAGCGTGTTTTCCTGAAACCGGACGAAGGCTGCATCTCGCTGCTACTTATTCAGTCGTTCAAAAGGAAAAGGAGGCCCGCAGTGTGCCCGGTGCCCTCCTGCCTCCAGCCCTGTGGCAGGTGGCAGAGAAGCTGACGGGCCGCAGGCAGGCGGGAAACACCTCTCAGGCCCTCTGAAGCTTTAGACTGCACACAGCACCGGTGTCTATATCCAGTGGGATTTCATTTGTAGATGAGCAAAAACGAGCAAATTATAATGACCGGCATACAGCCAGGAACTCAACCTCACATGAAAAAGAAAGCTTGGCACCAAAACTCAAAGTATCAAACAAGAGAAAGAAAAAAAAAAAACTCTGTCAACATACTCACGTGTGTGCTAGAAAAGGCAACAGCAGCGTTAGGTCAAGCCTTACCCTCGGGTGCCTACGGCGGCCGGCGTGAGCTACGCCACACACCGGCCTGGCCCTACCCAGTGACCCAAAGAGCCGCGGCTTAAAGGCACCGGCCACTGACGGACGGAGCAGGCGAGGGACAGCGGGGCAGGAATGAACAACACGGTTAATCACCAGCTCCCGAGGGTCCTGCCGCAGAGCCGGCGGGTTCCCGGGTGGGGGACTCGGATCGGCTCCCCGCGACTACAGCGTGTCATATAAAGAATGAATGATTGGGTCCACTCTGAGCCCGAAAAATGGGAGCAAAATCCCTGGGGCCCCTTGACCTGAAATACAGAAGCGCCCAAGGTGCTAGGGCTACACCTGCCTCAGGATGAGCCCTGGAGGCCCCGGACAGGACCGAGCTAAGTACCACCACCCGGGACCCAAACGGCCGCTGACCGGCACACCGGACGCGGTCAGCAGGAAAAAGGGGAGTGTCAAGAAGCAGTGGACAATGGAGATTCTCGGCAAAGCTGACATTTTACCTAGAGGTTCAAGACTAACCCATCACGCAGACAATGGCAGCGACACTGGTTACGGGGTGCTCCCTCCAGGCCAAGGACTTAGAACCTAAGAAGGGCAGGGAGTCACCACGGGGCACGGTCTTGAGAGAGGGCAGAGCGGCACGGGGGCCATGCTCGGTCCCACGGGGCGGAAAAGAGACTCGGGGTCCTGGAACCAAGGGCACGAGTGTGAATCAAAGGTTCTCATGCTAGGACCTATTGAAAAAAGGACATAATGATAGATAGATAGATAGATATTTAAGTATTACGCTATCCGTTCAAATGAATAAAACTAACAGTAATACAATGTTCAGGACCAACTAGAGCTATTGTTTAGAAAAAGAAGGCATTAAAAAGGTAACTATTCATTGTTTCAGTAAATGACAAGCACTTTAATCAATCATTCCATGACTTAGAATCAAAGCTTCTGTGCTGTGGAAACTACGTCTACAATTCTGCTTTAAATAAGCCCATTGAGAATCACCTCAACGGCGTGAAGATCGTAGGCTGTATATTCGTATTAGCAATCGTTTTTACATTACCTTAATCATAACTACATAGGAGGCCTCGGGTCCCCTGCAACGTAAGTTACACAGGTCACAAGGATGCGGCACATGCGCGGCAGTGGACGATCCCAGCCCGCACGCAGGACTGGCCTCCACACTGACCCGAGCCGGCCGCGAGGACCCGGCCCATCGAGGGGCTGCCCAGGACGGCAATGTAGGGTCCAGACAGTGACGAAGCAGGCGGCTGAGCCGAGTCAGTGCCCTGGCCACCTGGGTCTGGACATTCCCAACGGGAGCCAAGTGCCTGTGACAGGCTTTTGGGACTATTCAAGGCACCCAGGCGGCTCTAGACGTGGCCAGGCTCACAGTATTGGGCAGCTACACAGCTCTACAGCTCACATGCAACATTCTGGGTGAAAAACACATTCGTTTTGTTAATACTGTGAACTGGAGAAAAAAAAAATTATCATATAAAGCTGAAAGTTGATACAAATAAATTTAGCATCTAAAACAGACTTGGGCACCAGAGCCGACGGCCGACTTGCCATGTGATCACATTCTGAGATTACTCAGTTTAAAAGTGAACACTGCTCCAGCAAACCAGAAATGACTTCTCGCTGAGCACTGGGTGCCAGCCAAGACACGAGAATCTGATGGTGCCGATCCCCAGGCAAGGGGGAACGCTGGAGACTTCTCTCTTATGTGGAGCTTAATCGTCAACAGCCTAAACCCTGGCGTCTGACATGGGTCTCCCCAATCCCCACATCTGCTAGAGATGCGGAGAGAGACTCAGCTGGTGTTGGCTGCTGCGGCCCTCTGGGAGGAGACGCCTGCCCAGGCTCATGACTGGCCACCCATGGTCCCAGCCCAGAGAGCTCTCAAGGCTTCGGAGGGGCTGAGACCTTCGGGCCCACCTGGAGGTGGTCAGCTGCCATCCCCCAGCACAGGGCCCACACGAGCACTAAACCTGAACACAGCCCATCACCCCAGTTCTGGGGGGAATCAGGGAGACACTTACTCGATCCTTGCCCCGTTGGCCGCAAGGGCGCCCACGCAGTCCAGGCTCCCGGAGCGAGCGGCCTTGTGGACCGGAGTCTCGCCCTCACAGTCCTGGAACCAGAACACAAAACACATCTCTGGTGAGTGGGGCCAGAGGGCGCGCACTGCGGGGAGCGCGTCCAACCCCAGACAGGGCCCTGGCACCAATGATGGTGTGGCCCAGAGGGAATTGGTTACCCTGCCTTTGCCCAGCCAGTGGGAGTTGGAACGGCCACAGAACACTCCCCCGAGGAACAGGAGACAAGACAGGGACAGAGCTCCTTCTCAGGAACGTGGTAGAGCATGGGCAGCGGCTCGGAAATTGGTCCGGGCCAGGTCTTGGCCTGAACGTGCCACTACAAGTGCTCAGCCCCCGGGAAGTTCAAGTCAGAGAGGGACAAGGCCGGTTAAGAGTTATCAGTAGGAATGCTGGTGCCACCAGGACCGGCTCCCGCCCCCCCCCCCCCCCGACAGAGAATCAGGGCCCGCAGGAGGTGGCCGAGCTCAGGGTCAGGAGAGCAGAAAGCTGTCCCCGAGGGTCACTCAGGGCCAAACGCTGTGGAGGGTGCCCCAGGGAAAATCCCTCTGGGAGATTCAACCCAAACAGCCCGGAGAGATGGATGAGCTGGGCCACTGGACAGGGACGACCTGGCAGGTAAACAGAGGTGAAGACAGACGCAGGAGGCGTTTCTGTGAAACCCCCGGCAGGCTGAGCTGCACCAGCTCCCAAACCCCTCCACCAGCGCCAGGAGCGGAGGGGGCAGGAGAGACGGCGGCGGAGGGCCTGGAGAGACCATTCATCAAGCCTGGAAAGCCGCGCGGGTGTGGGGTAGCCCCAGCTTCATTCTGTGTTTGTGGAAACGGAGGACCAGTGCCTCTCCGTGAACTCGGGTTTGCAAGTAAAACCCACCTCAACCTCCAGAAAAGCGACAACAGACGAGGCAGGAAGTAAAATCCCACCGAGTGCCAGGAAGAGCACAGGGGTGGGACAGGGAGGGCTGGCAAAGCCCCTCGTGTGTGTCTCAGGGGCGCCACGCCTCACTGTAGGGCAGGGCCCCCGAGGGCGCGCGCGGGAACTTTTCAAGGGTGGCACATTTGAGGCCAGTGGCTCACGCTGCAAAAATACCTAACGGCTAAGAACATGATTCCAGAACAGCCGTTGCCCAGCTCTGACGAATCAAGTGGAGAGCCGCCAGGATCGACGGATGAGTCACCTTGAATTCCAACAAAGGAAAAAGCCTCGTTTGTAATCGAGTCACAAGAAACTAAAGGCAGCCGCCAGCGCCAGCAAAACCCCCGGCAGGGACGGGGAAGGCGCCGGAAACACAGCAACCACAGCATCAAAGCACTTTCCCTGCCAACTGCCACTCCCTCCGGGCAGCGCCTGGCAGTGCTGGCAGGGCAGCCTCAGTGCCCCCAGGGAATGGGAAAGAGCTGGCACGCCCCAGGCTGGAAAACAGGCGAAAACAAACTATGGCTCAGCATCGGTGCCAGAGTGGGCTACCGCAAAACACAAACCCCACTCCAAACGGGGTCAGCAGAGTCACCAAGAGCGAAAGGAAGACGCGTCATCTGCTCTGCAGGCCTTTGCGAAGGGAGGAAGCGAGCCCACGGCTGGGCAGGGGTGCCCCGGGTGGGCAAGTCCCGCTAACCGCAGTCAGCGGGGTAAGAGTTGAGGGGACACTAGCGCAGGTGACCACGGATGACGACCAGAGTCACCACCACGCGGCAGAGGCCAGGCCAGGGAAAACCCAACCGCAGACCCCAAAGAGTTTCTGCAGCCCACTGTCCCCGGCTGGGCCTGGCTCCGGCCGCTCGCCCAGCAGCTGGGGCTTTCCCAGTGTCCAGCCTGCCAGGAGGGGCCGGCACCCACCCCGCCCCGCCCCCAGCCACGACAGTCCCGCCGCGGCGACTCACCGGCTGGTCAACGCTGGCTCCGGCCTGGATCAGCCACAGCAGGCACTGGGGGTGGCCCCCGAACGCGGCGATGTGCGCCGGGGTCTGGGCGTAGCGCGAGGTGGACGTGTCCAGCGTGGCTCCGGCCTGCACCAGCTGGACCAAGCACTCCAGCTGCGGGGACAGCGGGAGAGGAGGCGTGAGGGGGGGCTCCAGGGCCCGGCCCCCTCGAGCAGCGGTGCGGGGCCAGGGGCACGGGAAACGCCTTCCGGGCTGCCCACTCGGGAAACGCTCCCCCGGCCCTAACCACCGGACCTTCGCGTCCGAGCGGACGCCCGAGCATCGCGGGGGCTACAGAGGGTGGCCCGGGGCCGCGCCCGGCCAGGTCCCGGTTCGGGTCCGGTCCGGTCCCGCACAGCGCGACCGTTAGAAAGCGCCGCACGTGCGCCCGGGCTCGGGGCGCCCGCCGCTTCCGCCCCGCCTTCCCGGCAGGCCCCGCGCCGCGAACATGGCGCCTTAAAGCGCCCGCGCCCACCTTGCCGAAGTGCGCGGCCCAGTGCACGGGCGTCCAGCCGTAGAAGGAGTCCTCGGCGGCCAGGTGGGCGCGCGGCGCCTGCCGCAACAGCGAGCAGAGCGCGGCCACGTCTCCGTCGCGGCAGGCGCGGTGCAGCGGGAAGCGCAGCGACAGCAGCTCCTCGCTGGAGAAACCCGCCTCCACGCCCGAGCCCGTCCCGGCCGCCGACATGGTTTGGGCCGAGAGGACGCGCCGCGAGGACCCGCTAGGCCGCCGCCGCCGCCGCCACCCGAGCACAAAGAAGTCGGAGCAGCGCCGCCGCCGCCGCGTCCCGCCGGCTGCCGAGCGAAGCGCGCACGGGGCCGGGGCGGGGCCTGCGTGGCGCCGGGCGGGGCTTGCGTGGCGCCGGGGCGGGGCCTGAGTGGCCGCACGGAAGGCCGGGACGGGGCCGGGGGCGGGGCCAGATGGGGCGGAGTCTGAGCACTCGCTCCAGTCAGGACCCGGCGAGCGAGGGCGGGGCGGGGCCTTATCGGGGCGGGGCCGAGCGGCCTGGCCGGCCGGTGGGCGAGGCCTAATCGGGGGCGGGGCCGAGCGTCCCGGCCGGCCAGTGGGCGTGATTGCGGCGGTCCTTGCTGGCCCCGCGCTGCCCGGCCCGACCCTGGGCGGCAGTGGACCGGAACCCGTGGACAGCATCCTGCGGGACGCGCAGGCGCAGCCCCGGGCTGCTGTGGGACCAGATCCTCTGTCTGAGGGCCCGAAGCTGCCCCCAATGCGACTGTTTTCTAGGGTGGACATCGCCAATTTCGTGGGGAATGGCCGCTATTAGTGCGGCCACTTCCTCCTCGCCTTCCTCAGACTTTATTTCACTCGGGTATATTTGAGGAGATTATTTTTTTATTAAAAAAACTCAATCCAGGGTTGGCTGGCTGGAGGGTCTCTTTACTTGGGGTGGCGGGGCTTGATTCCCTGCACCCGTGGGCCCCAGAGCACCCCGCAGCAGGGGGGAGCTGGGGAGCAGGGGCGAAAGGAGGCCTCGGTCTGTCCCCTGGCCGGCTGCTCCCGACAGCTTCGTTCTAGCTGTTCCCAACGTCTTAAACATTCCTGCCAATTCCAAGACTGGGGAAGTTTACATTTCCCAAGACCATGAATTTTCCTCCTACCCTGGGCTCATGGGAGACCAGGAGAAAAGGGGCAGTTCCTGGTGTACAAAGGCCTTCAATAGAAAGCCAGTCCCCAGCACAGTGGGAAGGATCATCACCTTAGCAACATAGTAACCATAAATTCCCGTTTGCTCTGGGAGGCTGAGGCTTTGCTTAGCAAGTCACATAAAGACCCAGTTTGCCTATAAAAAAAACCACAAAATGAGCCATATTAACTCAGTCCTCTACAAGGTTCTTCCCCTGCTGGGGAGTTTCTCTTCTACTTTCTGGTAAACTTCGGTATTTTCTAGCTCTTAATGTGAGCATCTTTATACTCCATGTTTTCATTCTTGCAAACACTGACCAACCTGGGGACCACGGATGGACACAGAAACCTGCTGTCACCGCTCCTGCATCCCCGCAACTCCGCTTGGCCCCCCAGGAAGTGCCTGGCGTGGGCCGTGGCTGGTGCTGTGGCTGTGAGCGCCTTAGTGGCACGCTCGTGAGCACCCAGCACCCTTCCCCCCCGCCCCCCCAACGCAGCCGTCCACTGCGCCTGGAGCCCACATGATCCACAGGGCACAGGACCAGTGACCTGAGGGCTCAGGTCGCTCTTTGCAGGCGAAGGAGAGCCAGTCCCATCTCTGCCCAGGTCCAGCAGGGCTGATGGCTTCCCTTGCAGAAGCCACAGGGTTTCAGGAGGAGGCCAACAGTGAACCCAGGGGAGGAGATGCATGTTCAAGCAGAAGGCGGATGCCGAGGCCTTGGCAGGCCTTGACGGGAACAGCAGAACTCTCCCCAGCTGCTCCCAGCAGCCAGGTCTGTCAACAGGGAGACACTTGACAATGGACCTTCTTTGGGTTTGGGGTTTGGGTCACACCTGAGGTGCTCAGGGCTAACTCCTTGCTTTGGCACAGGAACCTCTCCTGGAGGGGCTTTTTTCTCTTCAAGGCCTCAGTCACAACTTTAAGTTTCTCTTTGAAGTTCCTTTTCTAAGGGTGGGGTCCACCCTTCTCCAGATGGTGCCTAAGTTTCTTCAAAGACCTCAAAGACCTTTACATCTCAAAGGGATTCAGCCCAAAGGCCCTGGGGCTCCCTCAGCTTCTTTCAGTCACTTCCTGGTTTTGTTACAAGGAGAAATTCTTGCCCAAGGCGCAACCTTAGTTATAAACTGTACTCTGGAACCAAGAGCTTCACCCAGGGAGCTCAACCTCGAGTCCAGGCAGCCCTGGAACAGAGCTTGCCCCCCCTGGCAAGTACCCAGCGTGGGAGAGCACTGGATCCCGAGTACTGGGACCTGGGGAGGCATGGGAGAACCTGAAGGAGGCCAATGGGCTGGTAAGGAGCTTATTCTGTCGGTCAGGCAAGAGAGCACATTCTTCAGTCTTTCAAGCAGTAACATTTCCTTGGGTCCAGAAGATAGAAATGCACACGTCCGTCGGGGCCAGCACTGAGGGGTTTCCTGGCCGCACCAGGACTATGTGAGGGGGCGGGCACGAGATCGGGACAAGGAGATGGACATGAAGATGCGCTGAACTGGCCCAAGGACCAGGCGTGGCCTCGGCCTCCTTCGAGAAGCCTCGGAACCAGACCTACTTTCCAACCCACTGAGACTATTTTTTTTTTTTACCCGTGGAGTTTATTTTACAGGCCTAGGAAACTAAAGTAGGTTATAGTGATAGAAAACTTTCTCAATTAAGATGGCTTTTTTCTGATTTCTTTTTAGGGCGACTTGGACTAGAGTGTGTCCTAGACAGAGCAGCACAGACATTGTTTAACACAAGCTCTGGGGGTGGTAAGACAGCCCTGCGGGGAGGACGCCCCCCCTTGTATGCTGCCAACCTGGGCTCCATCCGGCATCCTGTGCCATCCTGTGCGGTCCCACAAACACGGCCAGTAGTAATTCTTGAGTGTAGGGCCAGGAGTAGGCCCTGAGTATTGCCAGTGTGGCCCCAAAGAGAGCAAAAACAAGCTCTTGTGGGCTGCAGCACAGTGGGTAGGGCGTTTGCCTTGCACTCAGCCGACCCGGTTCGATTCCCAGCATTCTATATGGTCCCCTGAGCACTGCCAGGAGGAACCCCTGGGTGTGACCCAAAAGGCAAAAAACAAAACAAGCTCTCGAAAGCTCCAGGTGCAGTGCTCTGCAGAGCACTACTGCTCGCCTGCACAGCCCTCACCAAGGAAGGGGGTGCCCTGCAGAGCCGGGCGGCAGGGCTTGTCCTGGGGAACCCCTGGGGAAAGCTGACGTTGTCAATAGTTCGGAGGGCCCAGAGCGCTCCACTTCGGGCCCACTGTCTTCATCAGATGATGCACGTGCTAACTGGGCACAAGGGTCACAGGGGCATGGACTGGGCACCCCATGCCAGCGTCTGGCGGGCTTGCCTGGTTGTATTCTGCTCTGACTGGCTTCTTCCAGACCTCTCATGTCTAAAACAGCTTCCATCTCCCTATGGAGTGAAATGGGCTTATCCAGGCAAACAGGCAGCAATCAAGAGAGACTGCTTCCCTCTGAAGATGCAGTGCCACACACTGACTCTCCTTGGGAGAAGAGAGAGACATGCTCGGTCCCTGCACAAACCTCAGTCAGCCGCGTATCTGCACAGCCGTCGCAGTGAGCACCCCACAGTGCTCTGAAAAGGGCTGAGAACCGTCACTCTGTTCATTTCTGGACAACAGAATCGACGCGCCATCACACACACTCTGACCGCATGACAGCATTGATTTCACAACTGTGGGGCCCAAACAGTGGGAAAGCCCCTGAACGGGTGGCCGAATGGTGACAGGCAGGCCCGCCCCCAGGACGGAGGAACTCAGGGTCCAGGCAGACACGACCTGCTGGAGGAAGACGTGTCCTCCTGAGGGAGAGACGTCCTGCTGGGGGTCTCATGCCTCTGTGCAGAATCCCGCCCTTCCAGGCAGAGACCCAACCCTCTCGGGAGCCTCTGGGCCAGGGACCCATGCTGAGTCCTCAGGGCAGCCTCTTGTCTGTCTGTGGGAGGCAACAGTGCAGGGAGGGGTGGGCCAGGGTGCCTCAGACTCCAAGTCTGCAGACACTATTTTAGGTGTGATCTCTGCCTGGCCGGTCATAAGGGTGCTGAACAACTCGGTCAGGTGTTCTGGATGTTTCTAGGCCACGTTTGGGTGAGATGTCAAGGCAAGGGCAGGTGCCCTGGTCTGAAGGCCTGGCTGGAGGCCTGGGGTGCAGAGGGCCCTTCGGTCACAAGGGCCGGTCCTGGCACGCATGAGTCTTTTCTTTTTACTTTTTGGCTGCCCCGGCAGTGCTCGGAAGTTACTCCTGGCTCTGCACTCAGCGACCCCCGGAGGTGGGCCCGGCTAGAGTTGCCCCTTTGGCAGTTCCCACACACCCAGCTCTGGGCAGGGCACCAGGACCTCGGGCAGAGGCCGAGCGCCCACCTGCTCACACAGCGGCCCTCACCGCCCGCGGGTGCAGGAGGGGCCAACGCCCCCTCCAAGGGTGGATCCACCTTCCACCGGCTCTCAGCTGACCCAGCGGGCCATGCGGGCTCTGGGGGCAGCCCTGTCCTTGTCCCTCCTGCACACGTCCAGGACTCGGTGCTATGGGACAGGAAGCACGCTGTTGCTGTCGCTGTTTGACACCGTTTATTGGCAGCCTGGGGCTGAACCTGGGGCAACACTGGGGGCCGTGGCCCTCAGGGCTGACTGAGCTGGTTCTTCTCTTGCCGACTTTTGTGCCTGAGTCTTGGCCACTGGAGACTGTTTCGTCCTGGTGGAGACGTTCGCTGAGGGCAGTCTGGGGTGAACCCCGGGCGGGGCAGGTGGAGAGACCCCTCCCTGCTCACCACAGATACCTCTCGGGCCTTGCTCAGTGCTCACCAGGCCTGCCTCAGCACGTGGGGGACGCGCCCACCTCACCCAGGGGTGGCTCCTGGACCGTGTCCCCTGCGGGTGCTCCCCTGTTTGCCCTGCCCTCCCCTGCTCTATCCTCCCCTCCCCCATCTTCCCCTGCCCTGCCCTCCCCTGCCTTCCCGCCCCCTGCCGTCCCCTGACCTCCCTTTCCCTCCCCAACCTTGCCCTTCCCTCCTCTGCCCTCCCCTACCTTCCCCTGCTCTGCTACCCTGCCCTGCCCTTCCCTGCCTTACCCTCCCCTGCTCTGCTCCTCTCCTGCCCTCCCTCCTCCCCCCCATCCTCCCTTTCCCTGTCCTGCCCTCCCCTGCCCTGCTCTCCCCTCCCCTGCCCTGCTCTCCCCTG